TTGCAAATAAATTCTTTCCAAATCAACCAATGTGATTGTCTGGATTTGTTTTCTCATTTTGTCTCTCATAGTTGAGGTCTACCTATGATGCCAATTACAGGCCTCTCTCATCTTTTTAAGTGGGAGAACTTGCACAATTGGTGGCTGACTAAATACTTTTTTGCCCCACTGTATCTGAAAATCGATCAATCCTGAAGTACTGATGACCAATTTAATTTCTTGAGGTTCAAAAATGTCAGAACAGTACAGATATCCCCCAAATGACCCCTTTATGCGAAGTAGACTGCCCAAGGTATTTCATAAGAGGCATGGCGAGTTTTTTTTTAAGTTGTAATTTTTTTGTCAAAATGTTTGGGAAAATGAAGGAATTAAAGACATTTTTTCACTTTTTTTTTTTAACATACTGTTACCAGTAGAGTACAGTATCATCATATAACTGTTGTAGCGGTGATCAAGGACACTGACTGTCACAGTACAAAAAAAGAAGAAACATGTTTTTTGTTTTACTATTTTGTTTTCATAACACACTGTGACCAGAGTAGTATAATGTTACCATAGTAACATTGTACTACTCTGGGGAAGTGATCAGTGTTTTTTGATTTTTTTTTACACATTATGATTGCTTATAGCAAAGAATTTCATTGCTATAAGTAAGCATTTAACTGAATGAAATCAATGAATTCAGGTTTTTTTTTGTTGTGATTAGCTGTGCTTGGCCACAGGTAATCGCATGACACAGATGGACTGTGATTAGACCAGTGCCATGTGATTACTGTGACCAATCACAGCTAGTTATAATTATATACAATGGATGGCATGAAATGAAGCCATCCATTGTTTACAATTGGCATGTGACTTGCTGTGATTGGTTCACAGCGGTCACATGGTACTGGCATCAATCCGGTACACAGATCTGTCATCGGCTGTGTCTGAGGGACACAGTGTGTGGCACATCTCACCGCGGGCACACGTGAGATGCTATCCTGGAGGACATTTTATGATGCCCATCAGGATCAATGAAAGTCCCACTCGGCCCGTCAATTTGCTATTGGCCAGGCTGGAACTGGTTAAACTGGTTAAATCTTCACAAATCTCCAGTGAAGTAACTGGCCTCAGACAATACAGAGAGATGAAACCAATCCTCCTACATAAGTTGTACCTGTTTATCTGTAGACTTCTCTTCTCTACATCCGTTCAAAGTGCTGAAATTATAAAGCTTGCCTGAGAGCTGCGAAATAAGGGGGCAGAGAGCTGAAATTACACACTGCAGAGCTCAGTGAGGAGAGTTCTAAGAGCTGATTGGAGGGAGGAGAACTCCCCCTCAACACAGCACACAGGAATAGAACTGAGGCTGTCAATCTGCTGCAGGTTCCTCCCCTGTCACCATTTTTTTCTTGGTGTCAGGAAAACTCATCAGAAATGACTTACGCTGATAGGAAAGGAATGGGGAAGCAGACTGAAATGATACTTAGTGCTCTGGATTGAGACAAGCTCACACTATAGAGGGATATGCTTTGTTCATATTTCATGCCTGAGGTTTACAACCACTTTAAAGTGGAACCAGTGTTGACAACCATCAGTAAATTTAAAAACGGTTTGTAAAATCTGTACTTTTATCCTGTCCGTAAAAGTCCATAGACAAGAGAAAAGTGCCCATAGAAAATGCTTTTGCCGACTCAGAACTGCTCATGTGCAGTTCCAGAACCGGCCGAGTGCAGCTTGGGTGGCAGGGGATGTGCGCCTCTATGTGACGCCAGTTTAGTCTTTTTCGGAGGGGGGGAGCAAGTATGGATTTTTATCAGTTCCCACTACCACAATCCTGCCTAAGCAAAGATGGGGTCCCTTGCCCTGCCTCCTCCTCTCCCGCAGCCTCCTGGGACATGATTTTTAAAAGTCAGTAGCATGGCTATGGCAATAGGCTGAAGTTGAACAGAGGTGGACCTCCATCACCTTCTAAATGCTGGGCATGACCTGAATGCCACCTGCCCTGGATTAGCTTCATGCATTTCCATGGTCCTGATGGTCAACCTGTACCATGAGAAGCTGATGCTGTGCAAAAAGCCAGACGTATCGTGGCACCCTGATGAGCTAACACACCACACCAGGGTGCCTTGCCACCTTGGTTGAGAAATGTTGGCCTAACCTGCCATGTCCAATCTGTTCCTAGCAGTACACCACAGTACAGATCTTTTTGGTATCTTCTCTCTTGAGTCTTGAGTCTCTGTCAGGGACCATCGCGACGCATGGGTCTGCACATGCGTAGGTGTCTGTCAAGACATGCAGGGAGCAGGGCACTAGGACCCAGGCGCACCCGTCGCCTATGACACTGCTGGACAGGCACTAGGACCTAGGCTGCGCCTGTCAGGTGCAGGGCAGTGACTTAAACCAGCCCTGCACAGACACAAGTTGCCGTATGGTCTGATCTGATTCCTGTGTTCTTGTATTCTGTTGCTGAAGATTCGTTGCTGACCTGCCTGGACCTGACCTCTGCTGACTTCTCCTGCTCTGACCCCTGGCTGAGTTCAACCTCTCTTTGGATATCCCTACCTGATCTGAACTACTGGTACCGACCCCGGCGAGTGACCTGACTATTCTTCTGCCTGCTGCCTTGTACTACGCTGACCTCTCTGTTACCGACCTGGCCCGTCTGACCATGCTCATCCGTCCATCCATCTGGCACGGATCCAGCCATCCCTGCTTCCGCCTTCTGCCTCTTCACGTCAGGCTCTCCACCTGCACAGACCCCCAGCGGATTCCTCTACCACAGACGGGTGTACTCAGGGGCCGCGACCTGGTTCCAGTCTGCTCCAAGTCCATCCCCACCATCAGGGGCCCTGGTGAACAAGCAGGCTGGGTTTAGACTCCGTGCTCTGGGGAATCCTGTCCTGTGGGCTGCTAGAGGTACCGCCAGGCGGTTGCTAACAGTCTCACTTGGGTCTGTTTAGGCACATTTCAAATTCCTGAGCCCTAATAAAGGGGGAATGTGTTTGGCCCCCGAAACGTGTTGTTTTTTTTTTTATTTTGCTTCGAATCAATTTTATCATTAAAAACTCAAAGATGTTTTGTGCTTTCATTAGACTTTAGGTAGCAGCCGAAGGGGCAGCAACAATGGACAACCAGGACGAGAAGGATCTGACACACCTGAAGTGCTGTTTTTTTGTGATTTTAGGGCTCATTCACACACAGGGGTTGACTGATCATTCGAGCACTGCCCGAGGGCCCGGGGTCAGTAGGGGGCCCCATGAAATGCCCCTGGTAGCTTTGTATAGGCTTTTTTTGAGTGTGTGGGAAAGGACATAGGGGCCCTATGATCCCCTATTGCCCCGGGGGTCCCATGAGTTGTCGGTCCGTCCCTGTTCACACATGTTTTTCTCTGGTCTCTGAAGACTAATCTGCATTTGGATTGCTCTTCAGAGAGTATTTTACAGGCAGTGAGGAGGTGTTCTATCACCTCCTCACCACCTGCTTTAATCCTTTGAATTCTATGCCAGTGCTTGCAGAGCGGCCCCATGCACTTCATTGGGTTGCACCTTGGCAGGCAAGCGACAGGGGTTACAATCCTGCTGCAGCTGTAAAACAAAGCATTGTGGCTGCGACATGTGTACACCCCTGGGCACTGCCTCTGCAGCTAAAAGGGGGAGCTGTTGGGGGAGGTAAAAAAAACAGCTGTGAGGTTTTACCACTCCCCAACTGCTAGTGTGAATGAGGCCTTACTCAGTCACAAGAAAGCAAAGTTTGAATGCATAACTGGATGGCCCTATAGCATACCTCCCAACTTTTTGAGATGGGAACGAGGGACACCTATTAGCAAAGGTATGTAGGAATATGATCCCTTAAACCCACAAGTGCTTTATTTGCCACTACTATTCCTTTATATTGGCTTCTGAAATTTACAAAATGCAGCAATTTAGAAATTGGATAAAAGGTTTAGCACTGGGAAACACTTTCTGATAGATAAATAGTGCATTTTCTATACAACTATAGAGATCAGACCAAAGTGATGGACAATTAAGGAGGAAAGAGAGACAGAGGGACTTTTGTTCTAAGTCAGGCACAATCCCTTGAAATCAGGGACAGTTGGGAGCTATGCCATATAGCAGGGGCGGACTGACAACTCATGGGGCCCCTGTGTCCTTGCCCAAACTCAAAAAAGCCTATGAAAAAGGTACCAGGGGCATCTCATGGGGCCCCCTACTGACCCCGGGGCCCTTGGGCAGTGGCCGAGTTCCCAAATGGTCAGTCCACCCCTGCCCTATAGTGATTACGGTGCTTTTATTGGCCTGGCAATACTAGGGTTGTTGGTTCAAATCCCAACCACGGCACTACCTGCCTAGAGTTTGCATGTTCTCCCTGTGCGTGCGTGGGTTTCCTCCGGGTACTCCGGTTTCTTCCCACACTCCAAAGACATGCTGGTATGTTAACCCCTTGCCTACTGGATACTTATACCCCCTTCCTGCCCAGGCCAATTTTCAGCTTTCAGCGCTGTCGCACTTTGAATGACAATTGCGCAGTCATGCAACACTGTACCCATATGAAATTTTTATCATTTTTTTCACACACATAGAGCTTTCTTTTGGTGGTATTTAACCTCTTCACGCCGGCCGAACATAAATGTGCGGTCTCCCGGCGCCTGGGCCTAGACGCCGAACGGCTGCACATTTGCGTTCTTTTAAAAAAGGACATATGTGCTGAGAGCGCGTGCCCTGCTTGCTCCCATCACACATGTCCAGTACTCACGGAAAGGTCCCGATCTCCTCTTTCGATTGGGACCTTTCCTGATCATGTGTTGCGCCGTCACAGCGGTCACATGACCCTAAACCCCGCCCCACCTCCCGGCTTCTGAAAATCTTAAAGGCCGGGAGGCGCCAGCGTGAAGGGGTTAATCACTGCTGGGTGTTTTATTTTTTGCTATAAACAAACAAAAGAGTAAAAAAATGTAAAAAAAAAAGTTTTTCTTTGTTTCTATTATAAAATTTTGCGAACAGGTAATTTTTCTCATTCACTGATGTGCGTAGATGAGGCTGCACTGATGGGCACTGATAGGCAGCACTGATGGGCACTGATGAGGTGGCATGGTTAGGCAGCACTGATGGGCACTGATAGGAAGCACTGATAGGCACTGATAGGCACTGCTGGGCAGCGCTGATGGGTGGCACTACTGGGCAGCACTGATGGGTGGCACTGCTGGGCACAGGTGGGTGGCACTGCTGGGCAAAGGTGGGTGGCACTACTGGGCACATGTGGGTGGCACTGATGGGCACAGGTAGGTGGCACTGATGGGCACAGGTGGGCAGCACTGATGGGCACAGGTGGGCAGCACTGCTGGGCACAGGTGCGTGGCACTGCTAGGCACTGCTGGGCAAAGGTGGGTGGCACTACAGGGAACATGTGGGTGGCACTGATGGGCACAGGTGGGCGGTACTGATGGGCACAGGTGGGTGGCACTGATGGGCACAGGTGGGCAGCACTGATGGGCACAGGTAGGTGCCACTGATGGGTACAGGTGGGCACCACTGATGAGCACAGCTGGGTGGCACAGGTGCTGGGCACTGATCATCAGTGCCCTGATGATCAGTGCCGATCACTTCTCTGACAATTGCCGGTCATCGGCAGTACTTTCCTCATGCTGTGTCAGCGTGAGGAAAGTGCAGCCGATAACCGGCAACTGTATTTACCCGGTGATCTTCAGTGTCATTGGACACAGTTGATCATGTGGTAAAAGGCCACTGTGATTGGCCGTTTACCGTATCACGTGATCAGCTGTGTCCTTTGGTACACAGCGATCACCGGCGGCCCGGGGTGCGCGCCGCTCGGGGGCGCGCAGGGGGCGTATTCCATGGATGTCCTCCCAGAACTAGACAACCGCACTTTAGCCATCTTTCAGCTATAGCGCGGTACAGAAGAGGTTAATTGGCTCCTGTCTAAATTGTCCCTAGTATGTGTATGTATGAATGTAAGTTAGGGACCTTAGATTGTACACCCCTTGAGGGTTAGGGACTGATGTGAATGTACAATATGTATGTAAAGCGCTGCGTAAATTGATGGCGCTGTATAAGTACCTGTAATTAGTTAATTAATTGTATTTGACAGATGTGGTCAGATAAATATAAGCCGTGGTGACAGGGTCTCTTTACATGCCAGTATGTGATACATCTTGAATCAAGTGAGCCTTGTTCGCCATAAAGGAAATGTGTACCCTGACGATAAGAATTGTAAATCCTGATAGAAGAGGCATTTTGGGAACTTCAAACAATTTTTCTTTGATTTTCCTTGAATTAAAAAAAAAACAAAAAAGATGCAAAGTTAGAGATCAAAACAAAACAAGGATCCCAGATTGAACATCTTACTGAAATCGAAATCATATGAAGCAAAAATTGAATGCATAACTACGGCTGATGTTTGATTTATTAGTGTACTGTTGGATTACACTGAGATTGTGTGCGACTCCTTGCTCACCAGGCCGCCTGAGTCTGATAATGGAAAGTTGAAATCCAAGCAGATATAAAAGACGCCGCTTAATGCAGGTCTGTATTCATGAATACATCATTAGAGCTGAAGGTTAGGTATGTTTATATAGTTACATTGGATACACCATAACTGTGGGATCTCTCTAGAACAGTGTTCTCCAAATTGTGGCCCGAGGGCCAGATGTGGCCCTTTGCTTGTGCTTATCTGGCCCTTGGAGTGCTATTACACCAATGATGGAGCATCATTTCTCCTAGTGACACCATCATTTTCTACTCCCACTGGCCACAGTTTTGTCCCCCTAAAGCCTGAAGGACAGTAAAGTTTGGAGACCCCTGCTCTAGAAACTGGAAATCACAGTAGTAGACACCAATACTACACTGCTACTACATCGCTACTACACCGCTACTCCAGTGATCACGGATAACTTCAGGATCCTCTCCTGAGTGGCTGCCCTGCTGCATTGTGAACACACGAGGTTGGCTGTTTGGCATGGGCTCCATTCAGAGATCACTTTGCATTTTTTTTTTCAGTGAATGCAAGACATGATTACTTCGAGTGGTGTCCGTGGATCGGTGTTCGGACAGGGAAGCGGGAGTCTAATGGAAATACCCTAGTGCAGTCGGTGTTCGGTTTCGTTACACTACTCCCAGGGGCGGACTGACAACTCATGGGGCCCCCGGGCAATAGGGGATCATGGGGCCCCTGTGTCCTTGCCCAAACTCAAAAAAGCCTATGAAAAAGGTACCAGGGGCATCTCATGGGGCCCCCCTACTGACCCCGGGCCCTTGGGCAGTGCCCGGGTTTCCAAATGGTGAGTCCGCCCCTGACTACTCCTTACACTAACACCAGCAATGGGGAACTATTCCTTCCTTCCGCTGATGCCAATGGTGGAGCACCATTTTTTCCACTGACATTTTAAAATTCCTCCTGCTACTGACCACAGGAGCTTTGTAATTTTTGTACTCCCATTGCTGAGATATTGTCTACTCCAACTTATGCTGGGGGATTTCCTCCCCTGCTGGCCAGAGTCCAGCCCCCCTAAGGTCTAAAGAAATAGTAAACTGGCCCTCTGGTTACAGCGTTTGGATACCCCTGCCCTAGGTGAACGCTGTGTCATTCTACGGTCAATGCTTCCTTTCTTCTACTAAATAATTCATATTTTAATTCAAGGTCTGCTTTATGGCCTCATTTACACAGGTGGCAAGGGAACAGCACTGCCCCTCGACCACCTACCTACTAGGGGACATGGTGTCTGTTCACATTGCTGCAGCTGTAAATATTTTCTCTTCAGCGTGGCAATTTTAACTCCCCATGTTGCATTTGACAGGCATTCCACTTGCAAAACTTGCCTATTGAAGTCAATGGGACTGCCTGCCAAACTCTTGGCAAGTGGATGTGGAATTTAAATACAAAAGCTCCATTTGGGATAAAAAAAATGGAAGCGGCAATATTGCCTCCTGGACAATTGCAAAGCACCATTCAGCAAAATGATCCACCACAAGTCCATCACCCGTGTGACAATGGATGGGCCGAAATATAATTCTAGGTATATTACTTGGGGGCTAAGAATATGCATGCATCATATATACTAGGGGGGGTACAACTGGGGGAATCAATGGTGGAGAAGGATCTGGGGGAATCAATGGTGGAGAAGGATCTGGGGGAATCAATGGTGGAGAAGGATCTGGGGGAATCAATGGTGGAGAAGGATCTGGGAGTTCTGGTAGATCACAAGCTTAATAATGACATGCAATGCCAAGCTGCGAGTTCTAAAGCGAGCAAAATCCTCTCTTGTATTAATAGAGGTATAGACTCCAAGAGAGAGAGATAACCAATTTCCCCCCCCCCCCCCCCCCGCTACAAATCATTAGTAATACCTCATAAGAGGAGATTAAGGGGGATATGGATCTCCATGTATGAATACATAAGGGGGGATATGATCACCATGTATAAATACCGTAAGGGATGGGTATTGATCACCATGTATAATACATAATAGGGGGGATATGATCACCATGTTATTAATGACATAAGGGGGGAGGGGATATGAGCTCACATGTATAATACGATGAAGGGATAGATGATGATCTCCATGTATAATTACAGAAGGGGGGGATGGATATTAATCTCCATGTATCAATACGATAAGTGGGAGATATGATTACCATGTATAAATACATAGGGCCCCCGATATGATTCCCATGTATAAGTAACATAAGGGGGGATATGATCTCCATGTATAATACAAAGGGGGGGATATGATCACCATGTAGAAATACATAAGGGGGATATGAATCTCCTTGTATAATACATAACGAGGGGGATATGCCATCTCCATGTATAATGTCATTAAGGGGATATAGATCATCCATGTATAATACATAAGGAGGATATCATTCTCCATGTATAATACAACAAGAGGGGGATATGATCGGGTCTCCATGTACCCTAATACATAAGGGGGGATAATGATCTCCAACAATAAGCGAGGGGATATGATCACCCTGTATAATACATAAGGGGATATGATCTCCATGTATAATACATTAAGGGGGATATGATCTCCCTGTATAATACATAAGGGAAACTGCGGATATGAATCTCCATGTAATAATACATAAGGGTGGGATATGATCTCCATGTATACATACATAAGCGGGGGATATGATCACCATGTATAATACAGATAAGGGGGGGATATGATCACCATGTAATAATACATAAAGGGGGGGATATGATCTCCATGTATTAATACATAAGGGGGGATATGATATGTATTCTACATAAGGGCGGGATATGATTCACTCCATGTATAATACGTAAGTGGGGGGATTATTGATCTCCATGTATAATACATAAGGGGGGATATGTCATCTCCTTTTGTATAATACATAAGGGGGGATTATGATCTCTGCATTGTATAATACTAAGGCGGGGAGTATTGATCGAGCCATGTATAATACATAAAGGGGGATATGATCTCCATGTATAATACATAAGGGGTAGGATATGATCACCATATATAATACATAAGGTGGGGATATGATCTCCATGTATAATACATAAGGGGGGGATATGATCTCCATGTATAATACATTAAGGGGGGATATGATCTCCATGTATAATACATAAGGGGGGGATATGATCTCCATGTATAATACATAAGGGGGGATATGATCTCCATGTATAATACATGAAGCCATGTATAATTAGAGGGGGATATGATTCCATGTATAAATACATAAGGGGGGATATGATCTCCATGTATAAATACATAAGGGGGATATGATCTGCACATGTATAATACATAAGGGGAGATATGATCTCCATGTATAAGTACATAAGGATGGGATATGATCTCCATGTATAATACATAAGGGGGGATATGATCACCATGTATAATACATAAGGGGGATATGACTCTCCCATGGTATAATACATAATGGGGGGATATGATCTCCATGTATAATACATAAGGGGGGATATGATCTCCATGTATAATACATAAGGGGGGATATGATCTCCATGTATAATACATAAGTGGGGGGGGATTATGATCTCCATGTATAATACATAAGGGGGGATATGATCTCCATGTATAATACATAAGGGGGGATATGATCTCCATGTATATAATACAATAAGGGGGGATATGATCTCCATGTATAATACATAAGGGGGGATTATGATCTATCCATGTATAATACATAAGGGGGTATATGATCTCCATGTATAATACATAAGGGGGGATATGATCTCTGTTGTACCGATATACATAAAGGGAGGTGATATGATCTCCATGTATAATATCATAAGGGGGGATATGATCTCCATGTGTATAATACATAAGGGGGATATGATCTCCATGTATAATACATAAGGGGGGATATGATCCATGTATAATACATAAGGGGGATATGATCACCATGTATAATACATAAGGGGGGATATGATCTCCATGTATAAAATACATAAGGGGGGATATGATCTCCATGTATATAATACATAAGGGGGATTATGATCTCCATGTATAATACATAAGGGGGGGGGGATATGATCTCCATGGTATAATACATAATGGAGGGGGATATGATCTCCATGTATAATACATAAGGGGGGATATGATCTCCATGTATAATACATAAGGGGGGATATGCATCTCCATGTTTTTTTTTTCTTTTTTTGCTCCTTTTTTTTTATTGTTTTTTTTTTTTTTTTTTGTTTTGTTTTTTTACGTCTGGAGGAAAAAGAAAATGTTAATCTCCACACTTTTGATAGCAATTGTCAGTTTAATGTTACGCAGCGCGTATCGCAAACAATGGCCTGGTCGGAAGGGGGGAAAATCCTCAGTGAGGGCACGTAGTTAAAATATTTTATAAGCTCACCATGGAGAACGAAATTATTATAATTTGCTGAAATAATAGTGTCTGACCCTTACATTTCTCAGTATATGTGTGAGGTTAGTACATTGCAAAATTTAGATCTAGTGAACTAAGTAGACTTGATAATTAGTAGACGGAAAAATCTTAACCTATTGCTGTAGCGGCTGGAAGGTGTCAGATTAGCTATATCTAAGACTTACTGCTGACCTGAACCGGAGAGAAAGGACCATTGATCCTGGATAATCAGATCTCAGTAGTGAACTGGTTCATCTCACAGTAAAAATAATGATTATTGAAAGGTGATACTCCGCTGACAGCCAATCATTTAGCAGCTGAAGAGGAAGATCAGTAAAACAAAAAAAAAAAAAAAAACAATTATAAAAAGCACAATTAGGTTGTAAAACCTTTTTTCTTCTCTGTACAGAGAATCGATTCTTTCAGGGTCCGATCTTGTACATGTCGATGTTTTACATTTAAAGCCCAATACTGCTTTTTTAAAAATGTTTTAGGCTAGGTTCACACCTATGAAAGGTTGCGTTTGAGCTGTTTCTGCATTGCATTTGATGCACTTGTGTTTTTTACGCATTTTGCGTTTTTTATTTCATTTTTTAAATTTTTTTTGTTGCTAAGCAGATTCAAAATGCAAAAATGCATAAAAAAACGCAGCAAAAAACACAATAAATGTTTTCTGCAGCCTTTCTAATGAAAGTCTATAGAAAACAAAAAAACGCAACTTTTTGCATTTTAAAAAAAGTCCTGACCCTTTCCAAAAAACATGTCGGGTGAAACGCACAGGTGTGATCATGTCCCATAGGAAATCATGTTAAATGGACCATATGCTTTTCTCGCAAAACGCTTTGCAGAAACGCTTAGGTGTGATCCTAGGGTTGAAACATATTCTAGCTTTTCGAAAATCTCAAGAAAAAATATATGCTTTGGTGCAATATCAACCTCCTTTATACGATTGTCCCCCACAGTCTGTGGTACCTCTTTCAGAGTTGGATGACTCCCAGCATCATTCAGCCCACACTTCTTTAAGCGATATGTCACACGTGCCCTCAGAGCTTTACCCCCTTCCTGAACCAGGTCATTTTTTGCGATACCGGCACTGCGTTACTTTTAAAGTCTCATGCGCACGGGAACGTTTTCATACTGACTGGGTAAGTTAGCTGTGTTTAAAGTCAGTTAAAAAACTTGAGTTTGCAGCTTTTTTTTAGTATTTTTGATTAGCGTTTAGCAAGCGTTTTCCCAAATTTGCGTGTTTTTGCTCGTTTTTTTAGAAAAAAAAAATTTGGTGTTTTGTGGGTCAAAAAAGTCCAAAAACGCTGATTTGCAGTGTTTTTACCGCCTTTTTTGTTTTAGCTTTTATCAGGTTAAGAGCGTTTTTACACTAAAAAATTCTTAGAAACCCGTAGTGCTGGGTTTTTTTCCAGCCAAAAAATG